ATAATCGTCACTCACGAGAGACTGTCGTCCGGCGCGTGCAGAATGAGCAAATGCACCACACGGCACACCCACTGCTCGTGAGATGCCCCCACTGCCTGCCACACCGCGGGGTCGTCCAGTGGAGGCGTGGAGGCTGGAGGCCAGGGGGGAGAGAGCGAGGGACAGAGAGACGGAGCGAGGAAAGAGTTTGAAAAGAGAAAGACTGTTCGGAAAATGTGAGCGAGTGAGTGAGTGGGAAGCAGCGGCGGTAGGCGATTGATGAGCACAGCTCAAACGCTAGCAGCACGAAACACGCACCTGCTGCCTCGGCTCTTAGGTGCTGGATAATCTGCTCTGCACGGGCGGTGTTGACCGTCTTTATGTGCGCCTGGAGAAGATGACAGCAGGGAAAGCAATAAGCTATGGTGCCAGAGGGATTAGTGAGCGTGGCACGCTACAAACAGGTGGCTTTAACCAAAGCAGCACAGGATGGCAGCGGGCCGTCCAAGTCACAAACAACAAATCAGAGAAGACAAGGTGCGACATTGGAGGTCAGGTCCGTCCATAGCAGCAGCATCACCATGCACAACTTTGACTTCATCCGCGGCTCAGCTCAACCAACCTCGAGATATTGCTTCTCCTCAAAGGCTGTGGCAGTGAAGACCCGATGCCCCCTCTCCGTCATGAGTATGGCCTGCCTTGAAAGCAAGCAGCACAGCGCAGGAGCATGTAGCGGACAAGGGAACAACTGGATGGAAGCGAGTGCTCTGTGAGGCCCCCGAAACAGAAAGAACAACCTGTGAAGGTACTGTCAAGAGCGACCTAACAGGCTTTTCAATGCACTGTGCTGCAGTTGCAGTGACAAGTCTTGATGGAACAACAGGAAAGAGCGATGGGTGTTGATTCAACATTTCAAGCAGGCAGAAGCGAGGCAGGAGCAGAGCAGGCACTGGACGGACCTCGATGGTTTGTGCAGCGAGCTGGATGGCATGGACGTCCGGGTCGATAAGGAGGGTGGCTAGCAGCTTCAGCACCGATACAATCACTCCCTCGTGAATGCCATCGCCTGCTGGATCCGCATTCACTACTGTCACACCACCCGCGGGTGCTGACACTGCTGTTGAAGCTGCTGTGGTGAGAGGCTTGAAGGAAACGGCGGAAGGATCCCATATGCCCAACTGCCAGCAAGACACGATGGCACACAACACAAGGATGGAATGTAGTAAGGTATGCGGGGAAAGGAGCTAGAATGCAGGGATATTAGCATGCTGACGTGAACTAGCACATCTACGGACGAGCAAGGCTAGTCACTCACAGCAGCCAGAAGCCTGCCAAGGCATGCCCGGATGGTGCGAGTACAGGGGTCAGACTCGCTCAGCTGCCATGATGCCTGCAGCAGCTGCCATGTGGCAGCAAGGGCCTCAGCAGAGGGGCGCGGCACGCCATCCCCAGGGCCCGCTGCGTCCAGCTCAGGACTGATGCTGCCTGGTGCTCCCTCCACGCCTCTGGCTGCAGCGGCAGCGTTATCGCACCACAGGAGATGCTTGGTGGCGGGGAGTTGGTCACAGAGAGCTTCCAGACTAAGAGGGCAGGCGGGGGAGGAAGCGAGGGGGGGGGGGGGCATGGGAGGGGAGATAGTGAGCAGTGAGGAAGCAGAGACAGGCACGGAAGACTATCTGTCGCTACTGCTGGGAGAAATGCGACGCACTTTTGGGAGATGTCAAAAGTTGCGGCGCATGCAGCATGTGCATTGAAATTGGTATGACGAAGAAAATAATCCGGAAACAGGAGAGATATGTTACAGGCTCCGCGGTAGTAGTTTAGCAGGTACTAGTAAGTGTGCTAGTGCACTCGTTGAACAGACACGTGTGCACTGCACTCTGCACCGGCCAGACGAGCACCCTTCCTGCAGCACCGATCCAATCAAGTTCACCCTCAAAACCTGGCCTCAACTACACCACCCTTGATTTGATGTCCACACCTCTGTGCGAGAACAGCTGGGGAGAGGCTGGTGGCCCGAGAGGCAAGCTGCAAGACGGTGGAGGGAGGCAAGGAAGGAGGGAGAGAACCTGGGATTGTATAGAGAGGTTAGGTGGGCATTGGGCAGCATAGGCAGCAGAATTGGCAGTCAGTGAGGAAAGAACAGAAGCAGACAGAAGAATGCACACGCACAAGAAGAACTCACAAGCACATTCTAACAGCCAAATTCTGATCCTGCTGTGTCTGCGATAATTCAGACCAGCCACAGCTGGGTTAAGCTGGGAGCATGGGGCAATGGAGACAGAACGATCCATGTGCCATGTTCGGGCAGGAAAGCAGCACCTGTGTTAGCTGTTGTGGCAGGGGCGAGTCGTGGGAGAGCGAGGAGAGAGAGTCGGCGATCGGAGCCAGCGAGGGGTGCGCTGCCACTGCTGCTGCTGGCATATGGAAAAGCTGCAGAGGGGAGCAGTGAGTCAGGAATGGAGGGACAAGGAGAGAGGGAAAAGGAGACTAGAGGGTTTGGTTGGGCTGGTAGGAAAAAGCCTCGCATCACGATAAGAAAAATAGCAGGCTAGATGCTGCGAGAATCCCACTCACAGAGGTTTGGTTATTGAGTCAACTAGAAATTTTCCCACTTATAGAGGTCACCACGACAGGAGTCTCCTTAGGGAACTCGTGCAGCTTGTTGCATAAACCAAGTTACAGGTGTATGTAAGGGTTTAGGCCTGGCGTGTGAATGCAGCCTTCGTACATAAACAAAGAAGCGCAGCATGTGATGCATGTGGAGCCCCTCCCTAGCACACCTGCAGGCGAGCAGTCACTGCTGGTGGCGCATCCACTGTGAACGCTCTCAGCAGCTCCACCAGCGCCTCTGGAAGCTCCCCCTCCTTCTGCCCCTCCTCCTGTGCTGACCCTCCTGCTGGGCCCCCTGCTAGGCCCCCTGCTGCTGCCCCCCCCGCTGCTGCCCCTGCTGCTGCAGGCAGCGATGGGGGAGTGCAGAGGGCCAACAAGCGAAACACTATGGCCTGCAGGGAGAGGGGGAGGCGGAGAGAGTGGCAGGGGATGGTGGGACTTGAGGGGAGAAAACAAGATGTGGGGAGGAATGAATACGCATGAAACACACACAATGCAACAGCATTTGTAGCGCGGAAACAGGAGGGGTTGGGAAATGAGAAGTGTTGTGTAGCAAGTATGTCCCAGTGGTAGAGTCTCGCCTTTGGTCTTAGAGGTTGTGGGTTCAACTCTCAGCAGATGCACTTTCTCTTCACATTGTGCTCAACATGACATTCCCACACTCCACCACACTCACTAGGGATGAGCAGGAGGACGTGTTCGTGTTCGTCTTTCCTTCGCCAAGTGGAGGTGGCGAACGGCGAACATGTTCGGCCGAACACCGAACATGTTCGCCCCGAACGAATTAGGCGAAAAAAAAAAATAGTTCGGTTCACCTCGAACATGTTCGAGGCGAACCGAACAGGTGTTCGAAATTTTTCTCAAGCCTAACACTCACCCACAGTGAAGTGTGGTCACAGTTGGCATTGCCATCTGTCCACTCATCCCATACTCACCTTGCTGGCCCCTATGGTGTGCCACATAAACCATGTAGGCTGGAGGCCCCTATGGTGTGCCACATGCTGCCATGTAGGCTGTTGTTCCAGCCTGGCCCACATGTGCAACATGTGGCCTCAATTACTAGCTTGGCAAGGTTGGCTAGCCTTGCCCTCAGCTTTGAGGTGCTGCAGCTAGCCTCAAGAGTTCAGCCACATATATGTGGCTTCCCACTGTCAGAATATTATGTTTCTCTAGTCTGCAGTGGGGTACTCTGTAGTGAGTACAACCCTGTTAGGGTTTGCTATATGTATCCCAATGCTTTCTAGTGCAATCATCCTTTCTCACTTATTCTTTCTTTCGTCAATGATTCTCACATGGTATAGAGCAATATCGATCCTTCCAAGGGCCCACCACGTTTACACTGAAATTTTTCCTACCCTAGGCGCGCGTCGCGCCTGCCCTTAACGGCCCTTCGCGGCCCCTCGTAAGGCCCTTCGCGGCCCCTCGTTAGGCCCCTTCGCGGCCCCTCGTAAGGCCCTTCGCGGCCCCTCGTTAGGCCCCTTCGCGGCCCCTCGTAAGGCCCCTCGTAAGGCCCCTTCGCGGCCCCTCGTACGGCCCCCTTCGCGGCCCCTCGTTAGGCCCCTTCGCGGCCCCCTCGTAAGGCCCCTTCGCGGCCCCTAGTGAGGCCCTTCGCGGCCCCGTCAGGCCCCGTTTGCGGCCCCGTCAGGCCCCGTAAGGCCCCGTCAGGCCCCGTTCGCGGCCCGTTAGGCCCCTTCGCGGCCCGCCCCGGCCCTTCCTCGGCCCCGTCCCGGCCCTGTCCCGGACCTGCCCCGACCCAGGCCCCGCCCTCATGCCGGTCGTGGCGCACCAGGGGCCCGTGCACCGCCCCCCCCCCCCGCTCGCCACGCAAGGCGACGGGAGGGGCGACCTGGGGGGGCGCGCGTCGCCCCTTCTTCCGCCTGCTCTGGCGCCCTGGGAGGCCGCGCGTCGGCCCCCGTACTCCTCCCCCCCCCCCCCCCCCCCCCCCCCCCTCAGGTCGCCTCAACAGGCGACGGGAGGGGCGACCTGGGGGGGGGGGCACGCGTCGGAGCAGCCGCCCCTGGTGCAGCCGCCCCTGGAGCAGCCGCCCCTGGTGCAGCCGCCCCTGGTGCAGCCGCCCCTGGAGCAGCCGCCCCTGGTGCAGCAGCCCCTGGAGCAGCCGCCCCTGGTGCAGCCGCCACTGGTGCAGCCGCCCCTGGAGCAGCCGCCCCTGGTGCAGCCGCCCCTGGAGCAGCCGCCCCTGGTGCAGCCGCTCCTGGACCTCAGCAGCCGCCCCTGGCCCCTGGCCCCTGGAGCAGCCGCTCCCCCCCCCCCCCCCCCCCTTCCATGGGGATGGCGGGGAGAAGGGGGGGAAGCTTGGAGGTCCAGGGGGAGGCAGGAGGGGATCTGCAGCACCAGGTCCCCCACCCTTCTCCTACCTCCCCCTGCTGCGGGTACAGCAGTGGGGGGGGAGGGGATTTGCCATCCCCCCTGCTGCGGTTGCGGCAGTGGGGGGAGGGGACCTGCAGCACCAGCCCCCCCCCCTCCTCTCCGCCCTTTTCTCCTCTCCCTCCCCCTGCTGCGGGTGCAGCAGTGGGGGGGAGGGGATCTGCCATCCCCCTGGTGCGGATGCGGCAGTGGGGGGAGGGGACCTGCAGCACCTGCCTGCCCCCCCCGCCCCCCCCCCCCCCCCCCCCCCCATCTCTCTGCTGCGGGTGCAGCAGTGGGGGAGGGTATGGGGGTGGCGGGTGTGGCCAACCCGCCAGCGCTGCTGCGCCCCGCGCGCCCTGCTGCCCTGTGCGCCCCGTGCGCCCTGCTGCCCTGCTGCCCTGTGCGCCCCGCGCGCCCTGCAGCCCTGTGCGCCCCGCGCGCCCTGCTGCCCTGCTGCCCTGTGCGCCCCGTGCGCCCTGCTGCCCTCTGCACGCGCCATGCACAGCACCCCCCCCCCCGCCCCTTCTCCTCCATCCCCTGCTGCAGGTGCAGCAGTGGGGGAGGGTATGAGGGTGGCAGGTGTGTGGCATCCCCTGCTCCTCCTCCTACTCCGTCTCCCACTGCTGCAGCTGACGCTGAGGGGGGTGGATGTGTGGGAGCCAAAGGCGTGGTGCTAGGGGGTGGGGTGTGAGTGAACCTAGGGGTGCAGCAGGGGGTGTGTGAATGGGGGGTGCGGCAGTAGAGGGAGGTTGGGTGGAGGTAGCCGTCGTGTTGCTAGCAGTGCCAGTAGTCCGGAGGTGCGCTTCCGGTAGCCCAGTGATGCCGCTGCGCCAGTCGCCCGTGGGTCCGTTGCTCCTGCCGCTCGTCTTAGCCGCGGAGCCAGTTACTCCTGTAGTCCGGAGGTGCGCCTCCGGTAGCCACAGTGCGCGCCGCTCCTGTTGCCCGTGTGTCTGCAGCTTCCGCCGTTGCCTCCTCTCTCCTCTCCTATTAGTCCAGCCTCCTCCTCCTCACTTGCCCTCTGTGATAGCCTCTAGCTTTATTTTTTGTGAACTTTAAACTGTTACTTCTTGTACTTGTGCTCAGAATGTGTGGTGACATTGTGATCCACCCTGAGCTTGCTTTGCTTTGCTGGTTGTGCTGATCATAACCCACTTTGACTATGGGGGTGTGTCAGAATATTATGTTTCTCTAGTCTGCAGTGGGGTACTCTGTAGTGAGTACAACCCTGTTAGGGTTTGCTATATGTATCCCAATGCTTTCTAGTGCAATCATCCTTTCTCACTTATTCTTGTGAGAACTTAGGCTTAGAAGCGATGCATTAGTAATGAGCTTGAAGCTCTTTAAGTACATCCAAGAAGGGTAAGGAATAGTTGGGGAAAGGAATCAGAGGCAATCCCTAGGGATTGGGGGTAATCCCAAGGCAATCTCCAATTGGTGGGTTGGAGATTGCTTCGAGATTACATTTGGGTTTGGTTGGGATGTAGGTCTACACCCAACCAAACACAATGTGCAAACTACACTACTTTAGGATATAGAAAATACAAAGTACAAAGTGTGAGATTGAAGGCTAACACGAACACCCCCCCATAGGCGTCAATCGAACTCAGGGCAGAGAGGGTGGAGCACAGAGCCCCATGGCGCCAAGGAGACGGTGGTGGGGAACTTTCCCAAGGGGCTTGGTGAACAGATCAGCCAGGTTGCAGTCAGATGCAACGTACTCCACTTTCAACTGCTCCTGCTGGACAAGGTCACGGATGAAGAAGTGCCGGAGTTCAATATGCTTGGTGCGGGTGTGATACACAGGGTCTTGAGAGATGTGGATGGTACTCTGGTTGTCACACCAAAGGGTGGGGGCGGACTGTGGGAAACCAAGCTCCTGGAGTAGGAAGGTGAGCCAACGGGCCTCCTGAGCAGCCATGGTGCCTGCGTAGAGCTCTGCCTCACATGAGGAGAGGGAGACGGCAGACGACCTGGTGGAGCGCCAACTGACAATTCCGCTCCCAAGGGTGAAGCAGTACCCCTGAGAGGAGCGTCGGTCGGTCTGGTCATCAGCCCAGGAGGAGTCGGTGTAACCTTCCAGGCGAGGAGGGGAGAGCCCACCGAGTGTAAGAACGTGAGACTTGGTGCCCTGAAGATAGCGCAACACCCGCTTCGCCGCCTTCCAGTGACGATCAGTGAAGCGTCCAGGGGCCACGTAGCGAGAGAGGACACTGACAGGATAGGCCAAGTCCGGCCGGGTGCACATCATGGCGTACATGAGGGACCCAACAAGCTCCGGGTATGGCTCAGAGCAGGCCTCTGGTGTGGGTACAGCTGGAGCTGTGAGGAGGTGTTGCAGCGGCAGCGGGGTGGCAACAGGTGTGCACAGCTCCATCTCAAACCGCTTGAGCACATTGTCGATGTAGAACTCCTGGGAGAGTGAAATGGTGCGAGCCTGGCGATCACGAGTGATCTCCATCCCCAGGTAGTGCTTGAGGTCACCGAGGTCTTTCATTTGGAGGGCCTTGCTCAGAGCTGCCTGGACAGAGGTCATCTGGGCCGAGTCCTTGGCAACGAGGATGAAGTCATCCACGTAGACCAGGATGTAGAATGGCTCAGAATGACGGCGGATGAAGAGAGTCGGGTCAGCAGATGAAGGGTGGAAGTCCAGGGAGAGGAGGACTTCTTTCACCTTGTTGTGCCATTCGCGAGGGGCTTGCTTAAGACCGTAGACGGGGCGATTCAGCTTCCAGACAGTGTTGGGAGGGAATTCTCCTGGGAAGCCTTCAGGTCTGTCCATGAACACTGTCTCCTTGAGACGTCCTTGTAGGAAGGCGGATGAGGCATCCATGGATTTGATCTCAAAGTCTTCTCGAGCTGCGACATCCATGAGCGTACGAATGGTGGGAGGTTTGGATGTGGGGGAGAAGGTTAGGAAGAAGTCGCGGTACTGCTGCTGGGTGAAGCCCTTGGCTACGTAACGCGCTTTGAACACCGGGGCCTCGTCTGGGAGCTGTTTTACACGGAACAACCACTTGCCCCCGACGATGTTGACTCCTGGAGGTGGAGTCTCGTCGTCGAAGGAGTGGTTG